ACAACTCGGTGCAGCTAGTGCAAAATACTAATAGAGGCCGGTTGTGAAGTGTTTGCGCGTAGAAGTAAAGGTTAAAGTGTAGCTCAATTTATGTAAGACTATTGAAGGAAAAATTCTGGGTGTGTAAAAACTTAGGAACGTTGGGCGATTCGGCACCGGTAATATAGGCGTTTGGTAGTCGGACAGCATAGGGAGTCAGCGTGGCCACACACGGCGGTGAGGCGCGGCAGCTAAGGATGCAGGACGGCAGCAATGGTTAGTAATAGCGGGAGATGGCAATGGCAAGCCTCGCGGATTCTGCTTGACAAGTGTAAATAGCCGCGCGCATGTGGCGGCACCTTCTTAGAAGTGGAGGGAGAGAGATGGCGGTCCGCGATAGAGCGGCAACAGCGTAATAGTTGGGCGCGATAGGCTCGCGCGAGTAGGCAATTCGATTCCGTTCAGAGTGCCCAAGTAAGTGTCCGATCAAGTGTTCAAGAAGAGTCCGTCGTAGTGTAAGTATCCCGATCTAGTAGTCCGCCAAGTGTAGAAGTAGTGTGCCCAAAGTAGTCCGTTGTAGTGCTCGAAAATAGCCATCGCTGTTGTGGTTTCGCCGCCGCCGAGAAGAGTTGTTGTAAGAAGGCGCCACCCCTGCGTTGTTGCCCTATAGGTCACGCGCTGTTCCGTCGCCGACAACGTTGGCTGTCTAGCGGGCACTGCCGCGGTTGTTGCCGGTGGAATAGGCCGTGAAAACGACTCCGAAGATATAGTTCGCATGCCCGAATTCGCCCTGCCATTTGCTCAATGTGTCTACAATATATGTTCCGCCGCCGTCCGGCATACACAGGCCTCGCTAGGCCATGCCAGCACACGCGCGACAATAAAAGAGGCACACAAAAGGGCAGCTGAAGAGGGGGAAAAGGAGACGACGTACTTCGTCGCGTTCGTCAGCGACATTTTCCTTAATAATATGCGTGGCCAACGACGGCGCGCCCTTATGGCCTGACCACGTGATCCTCCGGTCCCGGCTATCGTAGCCCGCGCGGAGACCGGCAGCGATCGAGCCAACGCATATCGCACGGACCGCCGTCGCATTACCACGGTAACGTCTTGCCACCGTATAGTGTGTAACTCGGCCAGTTATAGGCGTGACCGGGCGAGCAGGGGTCCGTTCGAATGCCACCGACGACGCCGACCCGATCCCCAGCGTTGCGAGGTAACCCGGCGCTGTTCCGTGACGTTCGGTTGCTGTATTGCTCGCCCGCCGCTCCAAAGTGATATAAAAAGTGTGTTCATGAGCTCAAAGAAGATGAAGAAGATGATGAAAATGAAAGAAGCGGATGTAGGAATGTTAGACGCGGATGTAGGAGTGTTATACGATGCCGTCGTCACGCGCGGATCACGCGGCGGCCCGCCGACGGCCGGCGGTTTTTGTGCGGTCCTGATTTTCTATAGCGGCGGAGTACTTGGCTGTACCGCTTTTCTCAGCCGCCCGTTTTCCGGCAGCCGACGATGTGATATAGAGCTCGCCACTGGTTCCATTAATCGGGAACCACTTTGGTTCCGACAGATACAGCAAGCGACATGCAATACGATTGTGAAAGATGTGTATGGTGTCGCTAACAACGGTAGGCAACATAACTCCGAGTACTACTAGCAAGGCTTGGCAAAACGGGTAAGCAAAAATATGTGCGCTGTTCCGAGTTCAAACCAAAATGCGTGTCCGATCTGGATCATCGAGTGTAAATAATATACCAAAGAGGAGGACGTAGAAAGAGAATGAAAAAGAGAGAGGAATGAAGCAAAACAGAGGCAATGTTTACTCAACCAATCAGGTGCTGATGGATGAAGTTTATTTATCATTTTTTTGCGCTTGGGGTGTCAGCATGTCTGGCCGTTGTGGTTCCCCATGACGTATACCAACGGCTTCTCTACAAGGCTCATTCGAGTCTTGGACGAGAGGTCGCGGGTTCGAAACATACGCGAGCGGGATGCATCTGCCCAAAACTGAGTTGGCTAACTCAAAATTTTTTTTTAATAAAAAATTACCATATAAAATTTGGGAAATTTTCAAAAATGGCCTACTTTAAATTTTTAAGCTGCATGAATGCATTATGCGACTTATAATTTTTATTTTTCTGTTAAACTAGCTTGGAAAAATGTGAATTATTGTGTTGTTTTGTAAAACTATATTATCGATTTTCTGTTCTGTTCTGTTCTAAAATCTAACTAAAATGACGTCTTCTGCTTTAATTTCCGTCGGTCATACCTTCACTTTACCATGCTCATGGATGCAAAACTGTGGATAAAAATGTATTCTTTTAAATTGAACACAGGACAGGACAGGACAATTGCGCGTATTATGTTTATCAATCTAAAAAGAAACAATATAAAGTATGCTATCCTACCATAAAGACAGATAATTCCATTCCATTTCATGTCTAAGATGTGGATTTATTTTTATTATACAATTAGGGAGCACAAGGATGGTCTATTTCATGTCACCAATATTGATTTACAGCATTCACCATTTTGTAATGCTGAGGATACTCATGAAATGGAACATCTCTTGCTATTGTAGAATTTGCCAAGCCTGAGCTTGCAGACAACAATAAAGTTCGACCAAAGACATAACATTGATAAACAAACTTGCTCATTTTGGAGCTGGACTGGACTAAACCACAATATCATTCATCACTGTTTGGAGAGCTCTAAACAATGTCAACGATCAGAATGCTTATGATTGCAACATTTCTTTCATGTTTCTATGCAATTATTTGGCCAAAATAAAAGATATTAATTCTGGGACTATTTATTCATTTGAAAGAAATGGTAATTCAACATTTAGCCAAGCATTTTTGTGTCTGAATGCCTGTCAAACAGCATTGGCTTATAGCATAGCAACAAATTACTTATTGTTGACAAAACATAATGCCTGTCATTCTCGTTCTAAATATGGTGGTATTATTATGGCAGCATGTGTCCATAATGGCAATGGGAAGATTGTACCCATTGCTGTTGCAGTTATATTGCTGACATAGAAAATGAAGCAAATTGGGTATATTCTTTGTCTTATCTAAAGGATAGCCTTCCTATCATTAATAATGAGCACCAGATTATTGTGCTATACATGATTGTGAAAAGGGCCTTTCAAATGCACAACTCCTTGTGCTGCCAAATTCCCATGAGGCAATTTGTCTCTATGGCAACATCTTGAGCATAATGTTAATTCTAATTTTAATCCAATCCAAAACAAATGTCAATGGTTTAATTTGGGCAGCTGCTTTCCTATCCAAAGCTCATACTACACAGAAGTATGACCATATCATGAATATAATATATGATATTAATGCTGATGTTGCAGATTATCTAAATGAAAATAGTACTCTGCATAAATGGGCTTGTTATATTTTACGTTTGAACTACCTCGGTTTGGTCTTAAAATTTTACATCTAATTCTGCAGAGTCACTAAACTCTTGGATAAATAAATGGCGGGGGTTATCACCTCTTGGTTTACTAATTAATGGGACATATTCTATTGCTACAAAGTTTTGTGACATGTCACAAATTGCAAATAATATTTCTACACCAGTATTATAACCGGAGCAGTACAGTGTCATTACAATAAGCAGATTACTGATATCAATATATGGCCTGAATGTTCAACAATTTGATGATTTTTAAATTTGGTATCTCCACTCTGAATCTAACCGCTCAGGAAATAGAATTATTGATTTGGAGGTTATGAGCTGCACATGTGGCATGTTTCAAGAGTATAAATTCCCCTGTGTCTATGCAGCATGGGCTATTTGCCATGCTAGACTCGATTTTATTGATTATATGGATATATCATATAGACCCATATCAATTAAAAATGTATATTCTGGCAGAATTAATATTATTGACGCTGATTTGCTTATAAGTGACAGCACTACATTTCCTATAGATCAGACCAGTTACTCTTAAAAAGGCTGGTCAGCCCAAATCAATTCGCATTAGATCTCACATATAGGTGAGGTTCCTGAGGAGAACTAGCTAACCTATTCCAACCTGATCTGATTGCAACACCAAAGGCCACAATAAACACACATGTATAAGACATGGTGGGTCATTAAATACTGAGCCACTCCAATTTCCAAGCTGCATAGTGGCTGTGCAACCATTAATTGATCAAGCCGCTACCCAGGAAGCACAACAGGCACCAAATATTTTTGTGCCTGTTATTAACACACAGTATAAAACAAACACAGAAGAAGGGTTGTATGTGAGAAATGTGGTTGTGGTCATATCATTATAAAAAGACACCATGCATTATTTCTATAACTGAAAATGAGTAGTTTAACGTTTCTTAATAAATCAATATTTATATATGTTGTAAACTTGTGTAAAACTAGTGAATAGTCATGCAATATGCAGTTCTGTTGGTACATATTAAATGATGTTATATTGGCAAGCACAAGTACACGTTTTCCAATATTCCTTCATGGGCAGGCCTCAGATTAAGATAGCGTTTGTTCATTTTTATCAGATCGGGCATATTTTTCTGCTTCTAATGGTCCCAGTTAGGCCACAATATGTTGCCTTGTAGATAAATTGAGCTATGCTGGTTTTAAATGTCAACAGGTTGGTTGCTGTGTTTAAGGATACCAACAATTACACTGAGCTTTATCAAAGCTTGGCCAACTTCCATAATGACATCAATGATATAAGTTTATGTTGCGTGGAATTGGCAAAACAAACTAAATTTAATAGACGAATTGAAGTATAAACCAAAAGAGAAGATGACCAAAGCTAATCGCCTAAATAAAATAAGCTCTATTACCAAAGCTTTCAAAAGGCAAGTATCCTTGCTAATGCGCACCGTTCCACGTCAATAAAGCTGAAAAAGGGAAAGTATGGGGCAGAAAATGCATGCATGCAGCGTAAAAATTTAAAATTGGGGTATTTTTGTAAACTCCCCATATAATAACCAACAAAATGAGAACCAAATTTTGAATCGGCCAAAAAAAATGGCGAAAGATGCCTACTACCGGAATTGAACCGGTGATCTCCTGTTTACAAGACAGGCGCCTTGCCACTTGGCCAAGTGGGCATTTTAATGCCGAGTTTTTAGCCTAGGTAGCTGCTTGTTAGTTTAATTATAGTGCATGCAGATAAACATAGACTTGCAGCTTTTTACAATATGTTTCTTTAAATGAAAGTGATGTTTTGGTAATTTTGTAAAACTTCAAAATGTGGCTGTTCTACTGGATTATGACAATACTTGGCTACTCTTTTAGATTATTTAGCACTATTCTGAGTAAATTAAATGTAGGATGTGTGTGACAGCTGTTCTTTAAAAAATAAAAATTTTATTATTATAGGGTGCAGATGACTGGTGGACACAAGTACAGTCATTGTAGAAACATAGTCACCTATAACTGCATTATTTGCTATAATAACAGTTTTGTTTTAACTTTGAAAGCTTGGTTTTAAGCTGAATAATTTATTTTGTTGGGGTGTAACTTTTATCAAGCTCAGTGAGCATGGTATTATATGGGAACATGTTTAAACATATATTGAATTTTTAATATATATTTTATACAACTTCAACAACTATCTCAACAGTAGTGGTAGCTGGCACAATAAGTTTGGTGTTAGCTAGTAACTTCAATAAAAGAATAATGTTATGTCTAACTGTATTCTATTTAATCAATACCTCAATACTATTATTCATTAACGAATGCATTTACTAAAGCACTAAAAGCATAGATACCTGAAAATTATACATAGCTTGTTAGATATTAATAAATTGACTGACATGATTACACCCATGACAGCCAAGAATCTTAAAACATATAAAAATATAATGTAGGCTTACTTTTAATATATACATGTTGTTATATAACAACTACAAGATTCATACGTATACTAGGGCTTAAGCAGTATAATTAGCATTCTAGGATATAATTAATTATATAGTTACCACTATTGGACGATAATGTTTTAACTTCTAAAACAAATATATTTTGTTTAAAAATAATTGTCACCTATACCTCAATTTCATATTAGAGAATAGTTATTATAGTGTTTTGGTCAACAATTAATAAATCAGTAGTGTAATAAGAAATGAATTCTTAAAGTGTGGCATTAAAGGATTAATTACAAATCTATTAAACAGTTTGAAATTATTTTTATAACAGCTTGACTCTACCCAATTGTTATGTATTTTTAACACTAAAGCTTTAAATCTGTTGCATTTATTATAGATAATATGTTTTAGCTACCAAGTTAGTAGTGCATATGATAAAGCACGATATGTAAATTAGTGGAAATGATTTTGCAATTATTTTCATTTTACTAAGTATATTAACAAGCACAATATAATACTATGTAGTTTAATACTGGCTAGCATTGTTTTTTTTAATAATTTTATCATTTTTCACATAAATTGAAATCACATAGTAACATATTATTTGGCAAATACATGTTTATGTAATGTAATTGTTTTAAATAGCAAGATATAATAACCGTGACTTTAAATATTATGATAGGCAAAAATGAATAGTCTTGAATACAAGTTTTACATTAATTGTCAACATTAACACTAAAGTTAACATAATTATATTTCAATTGCTGTGCTAAATACATTGGTTGCAACAATTATTGCCAAGTTCTGGTAAAATTATTACATACTAAAGTAAAAGCACAAGAAAATTGTGTTT